GCCTGATCCTGAAGAGCGACCTGTCAATGGGCTTATACCATTGAATCAAAAGCCGCATTCAGTTAGTATTTTTTAAAAATGCAAATTTTGCAAGACAATTTTTTATTTCCAGGAAATACCACTGGATTGTTGGCAACCCACAGAGGATAAACGACCTGAACCGCCAAAGCCGTTAATCACCGTAAGAACTCCCAAAAAACCAAAGCGGCCAAAAGACATCGACGGTATAGTTGTGAGTTGTTGTCATCGTAGACCCAGATGTTGAATTACAATTTTCACTTTCGTCGCCTCCGTTTTTTTAGTGCAAAGGAGGTGAAGATCAACTGATGCATTCATGGATTAAAGCAGTAGAACAGAAGTCGGAAACGAAAAAGGTCTGTATTTTGTAATGGCTATGGTTAGTGTTGTAATGGTATATTGATCGTTACGCTTTGAAGCTTTGGGAACTGTTTAGGAAATAACTTTCTTCACTGTTTTGCAGGCAGCAAGCTCCCGTAGCTCTCGCTCCGCTGATGACGAGGAAGAAGAAGGCGAAATTCTTAGCGATGGTTCTGATGAGGTGGAGGAGATTCCGCCCCCTAAGCCCGTTCCGGTCCAAGAGAAACCCAAACCCATCTCGGTCATTGGCGCATCAACGAATAACTTCCATTCCACAATTGTCAAGAAAACGACCAAACCAGATGTACGACATTCATTATAATAGTAAACTTCGCTGATTTTATTTTATCTTTCATCTTTCCAGACTGCAACTAAAATATCTCCTTTCCAACCGGGTGTATTCCCTTCTCTGCCAGTTCGCCCGTTTACTAGCGAACAAAACGCTATGATACAGAGAGGGCTTCCTACTTTCCCACGTAACGGTCCCTTTGCAGCACCAATATCGCCATGGGCTTCGAATTTTCCTCCTCCAGCTCGACCTGTGCAAGGTATTGTTTGGTCGTTGAGATTCGATTTAAATTAATTTCTGCAAAAAGACTGTATGCAAAATCAAGTCTGGAATCGGAAGATATAAGACT